CTAACCAGAAGGCTGGCGGTTCAAACCCATCAGCCACTCCTTGGAAGGAAGGATGGGCAATCTACTTCTGTAGTGATACCACCTCAGAAACCCAAGGAGGGGTCACTGTGAGTAAGGTCTGACTCGGTGGCACATAACAACAACAACAACAACAATATATGGTATTAATAGACCATCAAGCATAACCCAAAATACAGAAACAGCAGAAGATAAGTTAGATGAATGGGACCTTCTAAAAATTAAATTTTTATGTGTTTCCAAAGACTTCCCCAAAAGAGTCAAAAGAGAACCTACAGATTAGGAAAAAAAATATCTGGTAATGACATATCTGACAAGGGACTTATCTCTGGAATTTACAGAAAACTCCAACATCTCAACAACAAAAAGACAAATAATCCAATTAAAATATAGGCAGAAGACATGAATAGAAACTTCACCAAAGAGGATATTCAGGCAACCAGCAAACATATGAAGAAATGCTCACGATCATTAGCCATTAGAGAGATGCAAATCAAAACAACGAGATACCATCTTGTCCCAGCACTAGCAGCAAAGCTGAACAAGACAGAAAATAACAAATGCTGGTGGGATGCCGAGAGATTGGGACTCTCATACACTGCTAGTGGCACTGTTAAATGATACAACCACTGCAGAACAGTATAGCGATTCATTAAAAAGGTGGAATTAGAAATACCATTTAACCAGCCATTCCATTAGTAGGTATATATCCTAAAGAAGTGAGAGCCAGGACAAGAACAGACATATGCACACCCATGTTCAACACAGCACTATTTACAAAATAAAAGATGGAAAGAACCTAGGTGTCCATTAACAGAAGAATGTATAACCAAACTATGGTACATACACACAGCGGAATACTATGCAACCCTAAAGAATACTGTAGAATCTGAAAAACACCACATAACGTGGATGAACTTGGAGGACATTATGCTGAGTGAAATAAGTCAATCACAAAAGGACAAATATTGTATTAGTCCGTTATTGTAAAAATTCAAGGAAAGGTTTATATATGGAAGGGAATTTTCTTTGTTGGTTACCAGGGGTGGGAGGGGAGGGGAGGGGAGGGAACACTGTTAGACAGGAAGAGACAAGTATTGATTTGGGTAAAGAGAAGGGCAATGTACCAAATGTGAGTGATCACCACGGTGGCATTGAGGAAGAGGAAGACATAGGGAGGTGCATGGACATACAGACAGCAAAGATGAACCCTTCTGCAAATACAGTACTGTGTTGTCAGTGAAGGCAAACATGGGTATATGGGTGGATAGATGGGTGGACAGGCTGAACTTTAGGTATATCTATGCAAGGGGAAGTGTGCCCATGACCATGTACAGGGTTGGCAGACATTGTTTCTACAAATGCATTGGTATGCTCTGTAAGAATTCCCAGGTATATAGGAGAGCTGACAAGGGACAAGTTGTAGTCACTTCTTGGACCCAGAGGGAGCAAGTAATTGGAACCCTGGGCTTGGGACCAAAGTCACAGGGGACATCAAGATCAATTGGCAGAACATACTACACAAAAACATTGTTTCACATCCTACTTTGGTAAGTAGCGACTGGGGTCTTAAAAGCTTGCAAGCAGCCATCTAGATGCAACGATGGGTCTCTCCTCATCCAGAGCAAAGAAGAATGAAGAAAACCAAAGAAACAACTAGTCCAAGCGACTGGTACACGATGTGATCCTCAGCCTGTATGACTATGAGACCAGAAGAAGTAGATGGTGGCCGGCGACCACTGTGAAATACTTGGAGGGGGATCTCTGTAGGAGATCCTGGATAGAGTGGGAGAACAATGGGGAACAAAACTCAAAATCATAAAAAAAAAAAAGGCGGGGGGAGAGAACCAGGTTTGCTGGTCTGATAGAGCCTGGTAGAATCACTAAGACTATGCCCCCTAGCTGCCCTTCAGGTCTGGAATTGAACCCACTCCTGTGGCTTCCAGCCAAACAGAAGACAGGCGTATGAGCTGAACATCTACCTGAGGTAGATACACTCCTTGGAGAGAACAATCAGGGGAGAAAGAAGAAACAATCAGGGAGACAGCTCAGGGGGCAGGAGTGAATGGAGGGAAGGACACAGGGAAGAGGTGACTATGGGGAGGAAGTGGGAGGGGAGCTATTGCATTGTGGGAAATTACAGACAATGTCATGAGACAAAGTGTGTGTGAACTGCCGTATGGAAAGTGAACTGGCTCTGTAACTTTCACCCAAATTACAACAAAAATTAAAAAAAAAAAAAAAATTTCCAAAATCCCACTGCTGTTGATTCAATTCTGACTCAAAATGACCCTATTGAACAGGGCAGAACTGCCCCACAGGGTTTCCAAGGCTGACAATCTTTATATAAGCAAACTGCCTCATCTTCCTTTGTGGAGCAAAGCAGGTGGGTTCAAACCATGGACCTTTTGGTTAGCAGCCCAGGTCTTTACCACTGTGCTACCAGGACTCCCTATAAAGATTTCAACCTAGAACACCCTATGAGGCAGTTCCCCATTATCACATGGGGTCCAAACCCATGGCTGTCGTGTTGACTGTCACTCACAGCAACCCTACAGTGACAAGTCGAAATAGACAAATGGCCCCTAAGAATGACAACAGCAGAGCCGATAACAGATGAAGACGATCCCTTAACACCCTAAAACCACACGGCAGAGAATAACCGCTCAACTGACTTACCCATGTAATCAAATATTAATCTTTCCCCTTAAGAGATTAGGCAGATGTTTCATTTTAAAACATTGATTTTTAAATGTTACTTAAAATCTATAAATCCTACAGAGATATCACCTAACTGCCTGAATGTAAGCTTCCGTATTACTCTCGTCCCAAATGGGATTGAATAAGCACTGGGTAATTTGAAAGTCTAATGGTTTTATAAAACTAAAATCTATATCCAATTAATTTTTTCATTTAAACAGACAACCAAAACGAATTAGTTGCTGTTATAAACTGACATGTGTCATCCTAGCCCCTGGACATGTGGTTATAACCCCAGGTGGAATGGGTTTTCTCCAAGTTCTAAGTCAGGGTTTACATAGGGTGTGTCTTACGTCAAACTCTTTTGAGATACAAAAGAGCAGATGAAGCCAGCAGAGGGGAAGACATAAGTGCCTGGTCACCAAGGAACCTAGGGACAGAAAGTAAAGAGACAAGGGTCTCTTCCCAGGGAGCAAGCAGACCAAAAGAGCTCTCCCTAGAGCCAGCACCTGAACTCAGACAGCTAGCCTCCTAAACTGTGAGAGAACAAAATTCTGTGTGTTAAAGCCACCCCCTTGTGGTATTTCTGTGATAGCTTTAAAAAAAAATAAAAGAAAAACCACCACTGCCACAGAATCAATTCCGACTCATAGTGACCCTACAGAGCAGAATAGAACTGTCCCACAGCGTTTCCAAGGCTGTCAATCT